AACCAGACCCCAGGGGGAGTGCTGGCTCTCCACACCGTGGCTGTGGGATGTCAGCATCCTGGTAAGGTCTCCCCAAGAGAGTGCATGGGGGTCCTCAGCACCGCTGGCCCTCTAGTAGCACTCAGGCTGATGAGAAATTATTGTTATCAGTGTCTCTTCCAGTCTTGGCTCATAGCAAATTAAGAGTATTTCTGAACATGTGTCCTCATTTGTGAAATGGAGACCCTGATACCTACTCGAAGGGTCTCTGTGAGGATGAAATAAGAGAATGAAAGTCAGGTGCCTAGCATGCAGGAATGTGATGCTATCTTCCCTCATCCCATCCCACCTCCATTCTCTTTTCTTCTCTCTGCCCACAGTGTCTCAACTAATAGGTAGGTAATCTTTTCCTTGAACCCAGAAGACTGAAGTCAGGTGCCACGGGATAGCCGGGTGTGCTGTAAGTCAGTAGAGCAGGGCTCTCTTTTGGAGACAGAAGTCCTATGGGGAGGGCAGTGGTGGTGGTAAGAGACCTGTCTTTGGGGCCTTAAGTGTCTTTTTTCTCTATCCTTCCTTGTCCTGGTCCCTAGATCCACAAGCAATCGTGTGTGCAAGGCCCCGTTCTGGGTGCTGGGGTGCAGCAGGACAGACAGAACTCTCTCCCCTCAGGGAGCCTGTATTCTAGTGGGGAGGCAGGCACACATGACAATAAATCAGCACGTGAGGGGAGATGAGCTACGGAAAACAGCAGGTTGTAAGGGAGGCATAAGTGCCTGCAGCTGTCACTTTGGCTGCAGTTTTCAATCCAGTGGTCAAGGCAGGCTCACCAGGAGGGCAAGGGAGTGACCTGCCTGGGTGGTCATAGTACCAGCAGCCACAGCCTTCATTCTTTGAGCACTAAGTATATGGTAGACATCCTTATATACTCCTGCCTTGGTCAAGCCAATGTAGCCGTGGGGTCCCTATTTTATAACTGAGGATGTATGCAGGGAGATGAGGTAACTGTCTAGAGGTCACCTAGCTGATCAATGGCAGAGCTGGGATTCAAACCCACACCTGTGTGACACCAGAGGGCTGTCCCACTAGCCTTGCCTGCTGCCCCTTTGCCACGAGGAGCCACCTTGTCACCTGGTGAAGCCCCAGGGAGCCAGCAGGTGCCGTTGCAAACATGGACCTGGCTCCTGAAAGTGGGCTGGTGGCACGGCCTTTGTTCCCATCCAGGGAGTGGGCTGGATGGTTGTGTATTGCAGACAGGGCCCTGCTCACATGCTGCCGAGTGCGCCAGCCGCAGAGGATGAGGATGAATCACGGCAGAGAGGGCTGGCTTAGTCAGCGCCCCATGCTGGTGTCTGGACGCCATCAGAGATGTCCAGCTGCCTCCACCCTCCTTCCCTGACCTCCCACTCAGGGCTGCCAAGTGTGGTGGTGTGGGCTGTGCCTTGTGCAAGGACACCTGGCTGTGAGGGGTGCGTCGGAGTGAAATACACTCTGTTTGCCAAGTTGCCAAATACGCTCTGGCAGGGCACTGTGTCTGTCTAAAGGATTCTGTACCCACACCTTTTTGTAACGTGCTCCGAGGCACTTGAGAGGGAGGCGCTTGGGTCAGGACCTCTAGAAGTTCACACCTGGCTGATGCCTGGGTGAGGTCACCTTGCTGAAGCCCAGCTCCTTCCCAGGAAAGGGCCTCTGCCTCCATGGGGGCAGGCTTGTTAGGTAGGTGGGAAGCACTGGCTCCCCTGAAGCTGGTCTGCTCCCCCGATACCATCCCCAGGCAGGAGGGGCTCTGCAGAGCTGCCGTGCCGGGCATGGGTCTGGGCCTGCCGTGAGCACTAAAGTTCCAGTCCCACGTCTGCCTTGTGTTGTGTACTCTGGGCAACTCACTTCCCCTCTCCTGGCCTCACTTTCCTCATCTGTAATACAAACCAGCCAACCCTGGATGTCACTTGGGCACTGACATCCTGTTCCTTGTTCTGAGCTTCAGTTTTCTGAAATACAGGCCTTTTTGAAGACCAGTAGTAATGATGGCGACTGTCGTTTCTGGAGGAGTTCCTGTGGGCAGTCTCTACTAAGTGAAAGCATGTGTGTAGATGCTCTGATTCTCATAGTTATCCCTGGGGTGGGCACTGTTACTATCCTGGTTTTCACAGGAGGAAACTGAGGCCAGAAGTTAATTAATTGCCCAAATTCACAGAACTAGAAAGCAGTGGCACCTGGATTTAAACCTGGATGTCTGGAGAGGCCCTTAGACATCACCTGGTCTAGCTGCCTGCCTCCCCCTTCGCACATGGGGAAACTGAAGCCTGGAGAGGGCTGGTGATGGAATCACGCTAGTGACGGGACCACAGCCTCACCTAGCAGAGCTGGGACTAGAGTGCGGGGTTCACTGACCTGTACCAGACAGCCTATCACTTCCCCTGTGCCAGATGCAGGGTGGGCAGGGGAAGGAAGGCACGGGTGGGCGGCACTGCCTCTGTGGCTTTCCTTCATGATTCATGCATGTGGGAGAGAAGGGGAAACGTGAACACACACACATACACACACACACATACATACAGTCCACTCCTGAGGGGCTCATCATTCTTCTTCAGGAAGGCTTTCCTAGCAGGTGCAAGTGCAGGCACCATGAGACCTGCTCTGCCTTTCCTGGAATTGTGACCTGGGGCACCCCACAGCACCTCTCTGAGCCTCAATTGTCTCTTTCGCAAATGGGATTGTAATACATACCATTTGGACTTTGAAGGGGCCGTGTGGTCCCAGGGGTACAGTGAATGGATTAATAAAGGAGACCTGTCAGTAGTATGATTTTATGGGGAGGAGACTTTCCTAAGTGATTAGGAGTGCAGGTTCTAGATCCATCCTACCTGGATTCTAAACCCAGCTTGGGGTGCCTGGGTGGCTCACTTGGTTAAGCGTCTGTCTCTTGCTTTCAGCTCAGGTCATGATCTCACAGTTTCGTGAATCAAATGTCAGCGCAGAGCGTGCTTGGGATTCTCTCTCTCCCTCTCTCTCTGCCTCTACCCCACTTGTGTGTGTGTCTCTCTCAAAATAAATAAATAAACTTTAAAAAAATAAATAAACCCAGCTTGGCTGCTTTCCAGCCGGTATTATGACCTTGGCTAGGTCACTTCACTTCTTGGAAGCCCTCATCTAAAAAGGTGTAATGGGTCCCAACTCACAGTTTTTCCTGAGCATTAAATGAGATGATGCATTATAAAGCTTGTAGCCTAGTAGCAGCACAGGATAGGTGCTCAATAAATCAAATAGTAGGTAACTTATGGGACACCTGGGTGACTCAGACGGTTAAACGCCTGGCTTTGGCTCAGGTCATGATCTCGCGGTTTGTGGGTTTGAGCCCTCCATCAGGCTCTGTGCTGACAGCTAGCTCAGAGCCTGGAGCCTGTTTCAGATTCTGTATCTCCCTCTCTCTCTCTCTGACCCTCCCCTGCTCACGCTGTGTCTCTCTCTCTCAGAAATAAATAAAACATTAAAAAAATGTTTTTAAATAGTAGATAACTTTTATGGAGCACTTGCTTTATGCTGGACATTATTATTGTCATCTATATTTCTATTACTCTTTTATTAACAATTCATTTGGATTAGCAAATGTCTGTGTACTGGTCCCCAGGCAATCAGCTAACCTGTCAGACCCCTATTTTTGCAGTGAAAGTAGAGGCCTAGAGAGGGCCGAGTTCACGCGGTTGCCTTCTCAATGCCCTGTGTGGTTTTGTCCAGCTAAGTCTGCCGCAGAGCTACCATTCCATCTCAGTCTCCCGGAGGGCCACCCTCCCCTCCCCATTACTCTCCAGAGCCAGCAGCTCCTTAGAGCTTCAAGCTTCGTGAATGGCTTGGTTAAGCACTCGGCCGTTAAACGTTCATCTCTTACAATTTCAATCCAATTCCTATAAGTTTACTGGCAAGACGGGGTGTATTAGAGCTGCCAAATTTAATATATCAAGTCTGTGTGTCTGGGATGCGGTTTCTCAGCAGTAATAGGAGAAGAGAGGTTTTATACGTTTTCATTTTGAATGACTGTCTGTTCCTGATCCCGTTACAGCCCTTGACTTAATGGCCGCTGTCCCTGTCTGCCACAGGAACAGCCTTTTCCATCGACCCACCTGACTGCCTGGGCAGTCCAAGGGGCTTGTTTGTCTCTGTCTCTCTCCCTCTTTTTCCCAAGATACGTGCCCCCATCTATCTGCCCTGTGGTCAGGTCCCGGCTGTATCTTTAATTTGCCAAGTCCTAGGAGTCAGCTGCTTGAGGAGGTCACTTTCCTTCTTCCTCTGGAACTCAGAAACCTATTCTGGGAAATGAGAGATCCGACTATAGGACCTGAAGGGTAAGGGGCTGGTCTAGGCCCAGCCCTTGTGATCCCACTCAACAGCCCAGATTGGACCCATTCATCCTCTGGTCTTTCAGCAGCAAACTGGGAGACCCACGGGCTGGCCCTGACACTCACATATTTGCCTCCTCCCAATGGCTGCGCGTCTCCTGGGTCAGGTATGGCAGCTGTGGTCACTATGGCTGAGGGGTCTTAAGACTTAACGCCTGAAACAGTCTCATGTCCCTCTCTGACCTGCCACCTAAGAGTTTAGCTAATATCTTGGGAAGCTGTTTGCATTTCTGCCTGAGCCCTGTGGCTTCTGTAAGCTTTGAGCTGACTGTGGAGGCGAGGACACCCAGCAGTGGGATTTTAGGGCACTCGGCTTCACCTTCTGCTCACCAGCTGTGTGACCTTGGGCAGATCACTTCCTTTGTCTGAACCTCAGTTGTCCCGTAAGGAATATGGGAATTAATCCACTTATTCCTCAACTATTGGTTGCCTACTCTGTACCATGCACCACTTTGGGTGCTGGGGCTTCAGCAGTAAACAAAACAAAAATATCCCTGCCCACCTGGATTTATATTACTGTTGGGAGAAAAAGATAATAAACATAACAAGTAACTTACTACTTCAAAGATGATAAAAATGAAGCAGGGAATGGGGAAAGCTAAGTAGAGTATTCTGCAATTTTAAATAAAGCTGTCACAGGAGATTACTGAGAAGACAGTATTTGAGTGAAGATTGAAGGAATCAAGTGAGCAAGGATAGCAAGTACCTGAGGAAGAGCATCCAGGCAGAGACCAGCAGGTACAAATGGGGGAGGTGGCTGAGTGCCTGGTGTGTGGCTGGCGTGTGCGACAAAGCAGAGATGAGGCTGATGTGGCCAAATTGGAGGAAAGGGAAGAGAGGAAGTCCAAGTGAATAGGGCCTGGGGGGCAGGGGTCAAAGGGTATAAGGTGTGGTTCTCCTACCCAGCTGCATCTGAGAACTCCCTGGGGAGCTTTACAAAAGTGCCTGATGCCTGGGTCTCCCCTTTTGAGGTTCCACTGTTCCTGGCCTGGGGTGGAGGCTGGGCATCAGATTTGTTAGAAGATCCCTCTGGGGCGCCTGGGTAGCTCAGTTGGTTAAGTATCCGACTTCGGCTCAGGTCATGATCTCGCAGTTCGTGGGTTTGAGCCCCACCTCAGGCTCTGTGCTGACAGCTAGCTCAGAGCCTGAAGCCTGTTTCAGATTCTGTGTCTCCCTCTCTCTCTGACCCTCCCCTACTCATGCTGCCTCTCACTCGCAGAAATAAATAAAACATTTAAAAAAATAATAATAAAAAAGAGGATCCCTCTGAAATGAGGCCTCCCAACCCGTAATCAGTAATCATTCCAGTAATGATTCGCCTGTGTGGTTCCTCCTGGGCTGTCCAGGGGTTGAAAGAGGGTTTGTGTAAATAGAGCCTTCCTTACACTGGCACTCAGGGAGTGCTTGTTTGGTGTTGTGTGCTTTGGGCCTTGGTGTGTGGCGTTGCCTCCATACTCTTGACTGAGTGCTTTGTGACTTCTCAGGCAGTACCTGGTGGAGGTGGCCATGGGGAAGCATTACTTCTGTGACTACTGCAACCGCTCCTTCCAGGACAACCTCCACAACCGCAAGAAGCACCTGAATGGGCTACAGCACCTCAAGGCCAAGAAGGTCTGGTATGACATGTTTCGAGGTGAGTGCTGGCTGACCGGGCAGTGGGGCTGATAGAGGCCAGCTCTCAGATCTTTACGTTGCCAGACAAGGAAGTACCATGTGCCACAGTCTAGGTTGACTCTTTGAGTTGCAAAAGAGAGGAGGCTGTGGCCACTGGCCCCTAGGGACAAATGGACACTGAAAGGGGCAATCTGGAATGTGAGCTCCTTGCCTCAGTAATCTTGACTGAGGGCTCCAGTCTGCCAGCCTCGGGGGACACTATGGCCAGGAAGAAGGCTGTTTCAAGGAGGCAATGTTTGAGCCAACAGCTGGAAAGATAGCGAAAAGCCAGCCACAAGCCACACCATTTTGGGCAGAGGGCATGCGGAAGCAGGTGGCCAAGAGCAAAGTACCAGGTGCTCTCGGAGCAGAGGAGAGGAGGTGTGGCTGAACACAGGGAGAGAGGAGGGTGGTAGGGACAGGCTGGTGTCAGGGCAGGGCAAGGGCCAGATTGTGCAGGCCTGTGGAGGCCACAGTAGGAAGAGTGGTTTGTCCATAGGGCAGAAGTGGAGGGCAGCCTTTGAAGGGTATCAGGCAGTGGCCAACATGACCAGATCTACACTTGACAATGACTACCTGCTGCATGGGTGTAGGGTGCAATAAATAGCTGTTGAATGGCTGGCTGCTGGATGAATAATCAGCTGCTGAGGGAGGGCTTTTCCGGAAAGGCTTCTCAGAGCAGGTGCTACCAAAGCAAATGAACTCAGGCCGTAAGCACCTAGCGCAGGGCCTGGCACCTTCAAGGTACTTGCCTCAGGGCAGTTGCTGCTGCTGCTGCCCTGCTGTCATCAGAACAGACAGGGAACTTGGCAGTGGGGTGGAGGGGGGATAGGAGCTTCTAGAATGAGCTGGGGCAGGGCTGATGCTTCATGAGTTGGGGAGCAGGATTCCCAGGGCAGAAGGAAGGAGCTGAGTCTCAGCAGCTGAGAAGGGGAGACAAGTTTTCCTGGTCTGAGACTCAGAATTTACAAGAAGGGAGTGAGGATTTATGGAGCGCCTGCTGCATGCCAGGTGCCTTTTGTGGTTTGTCATTTGCTTTATCAGTAATCCTCTAAGGCAGATCTCCACCCTTCAAGTTAGGATCACCTAGAGACCTTGAAATAAAAAACCCTGGTCACCAGACCCCATCCCCAGAGGCAGGTTTGAGGTGGGGCCTCAGCACATTATTTTCAAAGCTCTCCCAGACTCTCATTTCAGATGAGGAAGCTGAGGCTCAGAGGCTTGGATGACAGAGGGTGGCCAGGCTGCTCAGCAGGCCAGGCATGGCTGAGGTTATAAGGGACTGGGAGTGGGGGCAGAGTGGAAATCAGTGGCAGAGGAGTCTCCTGGGTGCTTGGGAGGCCTCTGATTCTGGTGTCAGGCAAAGGCTCTCTGTCCCCCAAATCCAGTGGAGACTGCTGTCTGGCATGGAGCCAGGCTTCAAGATTACCTTGCTGTTTGCTCCTACCCCCACATTCTTAGCTGAGAACAGGTGGGGCTTTGGGTCTAGGGCTGATTGGCAGAGGCTATTGTATCACATAAAGGAAAGATGGAAGAGTGGGTACCATAAGCCCCTTGGCAGGGGTCCTGCCTTCCTAGTATCCTCTCCCGTCCTCAGGCACATTCAGTCCTTTGAACAGCCCTGCAAGGGAGGCTGCGTGGGCGGGGGGCCCCACTAAAAGGTGTTGACTTCAACATCCGGAATGGTGGATTACCCACCCAGGGTCCACAAGCTGGCCCATGAGCTCTTTCCACTTTAGGGGGCTTCCCCGGGGCTCCAGCTTACCTGCGCAAAGTGCACAGCACAGACTTTGGGGAGGCACACGGCACCCCAGGCTGGGCTAGGACTCAACATCCACTTAGCTCCCAGCTCTATGGCCTTAGACAAGTCCCCTACTCCCCAGAGGGGAACTGACCATCCTTCTGCCATGGCCAGGACAAACATGAGTCCTGGAGCTAAGCTGACGGGCTGTCAGTCCCAAGGTGTCACTCCCAGTGTGGCCCTAAATCTGCCACGTGTAAAACAGCCATAACAACAGCACCCACCTCCCAGGGATGTGACGGGGCTCAGTATATTTCTTACACGACTGTGGCTTGGAAGGGTTCACTCCATAGGAACAATGTTTATGGATCCACAAAAGGATTGGCCTCAGGCCCTTTATCTCACGGACTCACCTAGTCAGACAATACTCGGTGAGCACTTAGCGTGTCCTCCCCAAGGCAGGCTCTGAAGACTTACAGGTGAATAAAACAGGGCCCCTCTCCTAAGCAGCCTCACTCCCAGTTACAGCAGTGTGTTCGACGCAGAGCCCCTGTCTTATGCACGCCTCCATGCCCTGCCCGCCTCTCCCGCCAAGCTCCAGCCACCCTGGCCGTTGCAGGTACTGTCCTCTCTGTGGGCATATTTTTCCTATTGTCCTGCCCTCAGCCTAGCCCTTCCATCCCAGAACTCAACTCAGGCAGAGCGTCCTTAGGGATGCTCTCCCCTCCATCCCCCAGACAAGGTGAGGTCATTTGGCTGAATGCTAGCTGCTCCTGTTTAACATGTCCCCATGGCTTAGTGTGACTGTTGGACTGGAAGGGAGGAGCAGGTCTGACTTAACTCTCCACTAAATCCCCATCCTGGCATGGCGCCTGGCGCACAGGACGAGCTCAGTAAATGTTTGTTAGATGAATATCTAAGTGAACGAGCAAACAAACACCAGGTACCAGGGCAGCTGTTAATTTTGGGAGATGAAGCAAGAAGGACCAGTGGGGTCAGATCACAAGGAGCCTTGAGTGCCAGGTAGAGAAGCACATCTTCTTTATGCAGGCCCTGGGCTGGGGTTCTCAGCCCTGGGTGCCCTTCAGAGTCACCAATGAGCTTTTAACAATTTTTGTGCTCTCCTCCTCAAATAATTAAAGCAGAACCTGAGACGGATGAGCCTTAGGATTATTTTATTTATTTTATTTTACCTTATTTTAAGAAGAAATCTTTTCAATTTTTATTTTTTTAATGTATTATTCATTTATGAGAGAGCACAAGCAGGGGAGGGGCAGAGAGAGGGGGACAGAGGATCCTAAGCGGGCTTTGTGCTGACAGCAGCATGCCCAGTGTGGGGCTTGAACTCAAGAACTGCTAGATCATGACCTGAGCAGAAGTCAGACACTCAACTGACTGGGCCACCCAGGTGCCCCAAAGAAGAAACTTTTTTTTTAAATGTTTATTTATTTGGCGGGGGCCTGGGGGGGGAGGGGGAACTTGAACAGGGGAGGGGCAGAGAGAAAGGGGGAAGAGAATCTGAAGCAGGCTCCATGCTGACAGCAGTGAGCTGATGTGGGGCTCGAACCCACAAACCAGGAGATCATGACCTGAGCTGAAGGTGGATGCTCAACCGAGTCACCCAGGTGCCTCGGAAGAAACTTTTTAAAGATGTTTATTTATTTTGAGAGAGAGAGACATCATACTCAGGAGAGAGGCAGAGAGAGGGAAAGAGAGAATACCAAGCTCTGACAGCTGGAGTCCTGTTGGACTTGATCTCACAGACTGAGATCATGACCTAAGCTAAATCAGGAGTTGGATTTTTAACCAACTGAGCCACCCACACGCCCTAGGATCCATGTATTTTTAATGTTTATTTATTTTTGAGGGGGGAGGGGGACAGAGCATGAATGGGGGAGGAGCAGAGAGAGAGGGAGACACAGAACCCGAAGAGAGCTTCAGGCTCTGAGCTGTCAGCACAGAGCTCAATGGCGGGCTCGAACCCACAAACAGCAAGATCATGACCTGAACTAAAGTCAGACACTTAACCGACTGAGCCACTCAGGTGCCCCAGGATCCATGTATTTTAAAAGCTGCCTGATGATTCTGCCATGTGGCTGGAGTCAAGAACCCCCAGCCAGAGGCTGGAGAGCCTGGAACTTTTCTCCCACACTGAATCCCACAGCCACGGCACCTTGGCTAGGACTCAGGCTCTGCTGTCCTACCTCTGGGATGTGGGGGTGGGCTGGGCAGTGTTCATATCAGCTGGGTGGGCTGAGTCTGACAGGCCCAGTGCTGACAGATGGACACGCTCTATCCTGCTGGCCCCGCCCACACTCCGCCAGACCACCCCTAGAGTGAGTCCTCTGGTAACCAACTCCTGACCCCAGACGCCCACCCCTGCCAGCTGCCTTTCCCTCAGAAAGAGAGGAAGGGAGAAGCTCCTCTCAGAGTCAGTCACTTGCCCAGCCACCAGGGAATCACATGGGAAAGGGCAGGGGCTTTAGGCTCACAGGCCAGGGTTCAAACCTGGCACTGCCACTTCCTGACTATATGCCCTTTCCCCCTGTTTGAACTTTAGTTGTCCCCACTGCAAAATGGGGATGGTAGCACTATGCAGTGGGTGTGAGGAGGACCTGAAATAACTGCCATCGTTTGTTGAGCATCCATGACAGAGGTTCTGAGCCCTGTGGCTGCACATTAGTGTCACCTGGGGAATGTGGTGCTGAAGCCGCTCCCAGCCCCACATTTCTGGCAATTCTAATGTGCCACCAGGGTTGGGAATCACAGGCGGCCTCTGCCAAGTGCTCTGCAGCCATTACTTTATTCAATTTTCACAACAGCCCTATGGGGGAGAATTTTCCTCCCATTACACATATGGGGAAACAGAGACTTGGGGAGATTAAGCAGCTTGCCTCTGGCCAAGTGTACCTGGACTCTGAAACCCATGGTCTTTCCTTTTCTCCAGCAGCCTCTAGAAAAGTGCCAAGGGGAAAGTGCCCAGCCCCGGCCTCCAGGGCAACGTCAGGGCCTGAATCAGGGTACCTTCCTGTCTTACTCACAGATTTTGACTGATTAGTTCCTTCTCTACAAAGAAGTACACAACACTTAAACCATAAATATGTGATAAAAAATAAATGTGGGAAAAATTGGAGGAAACCAGGGTTAAGGTTCGAATCCAGAAAGATTGCTGTGAAGTCCCGTTGAGGCTGCCAGCTGTTCTGGCTCTGAGAGCCTGCAGCTCTCAGGTATGAGGAGGGAGCAGAGGGTGACCATTTGCAGCATGGCTGTGGAGGATGCCTGAGCCCTGGGGCTCACTGGTGGGCTGCCTGGGCACCAGGAAAGTTTTTTAGTTTTCTATTATTTTAGATTCACAGGAAGTTGCAAAGACAGTATGGACAAGTGGAGAGTACCAAGATTTAAAAAACAAAAAAACTGCCCAGGTGGTTCCGTTGTGTGGTCAAAGCCAAGAACCTCAGACCTAAAACTTGGTTCTTGCCTTTGCCTGGGTCTGGGAGGGGCTGAGGTCACCTGAAGCTCAGATGCTTCCCAACATCCCCACCTGTGGTCATCCCCTTCTACACTCCTCTGTGGATGGGAACTCTTTCCTTTCCTTTCCTTTTCTTTTTTTTTAAATTTATTCTTGAGAGGGAGAGACAGAGCATAAGTGAGGGAGAGGCAGAGAGAGAGAAGGACACAGAATCTGAAGCAGACTCTAGGCTCTGAGCTGTCAGCAGAGAGCCCAATGAGGGGCTCAAACTCATAACCATGAGATCATGACCTGAGCTGAAGTCAGATGCCCAACCGACTGAGCCACCAGGTGCCTCAACTCTTTCCTTTTCTGATCCCCATGATAGGAGGTGCCTCTATGCAACTCAAGTCTGAACCCGGCTCCTCTCTCTTCTCACAGATGCAGCTGCCATCTTACTAGATGAACAGAACAAGCGGCCATGTAGGAAGTTTCTGCTGACAGGTAAAGTGTTCTACTCAGTTCAGGTCCCCCTGAGGGACCAGCATGCCCCATCCGGCCTGCTTGGATCTCTGCAGAGCCTCTCCCCTTCCCCACCCTCCTAAGCCCACACTGTGGTTTTGGTGTCTCAGCCAACTGGTAAGTTGGGGCCTTCCCAGGGGTTGTGCCTTCGGACCTCCAGGGCCTGGTCCTTATCTCTTCAGACCTAGAATGTGATTTTATCAGCTCATCCAGAACAAGCAAGTGCTGGGAGATTGCAAGTAAATCTGGACACTGATGGGTGTAATTGATTGGCCGATTAAGTTAGCCTGGGAGCCCAGCCTCTGCTCCCTCCCTCCCAGCAGGCAGGCCTGGAGACAGATGGTAACAGGTATGAGGAGAAGGATCAGAGTTAGAACCAAGGGTGCTAAGTATTGATTTGACTACTCAATACCCAGCTAATAAAGATGCATATAGATCAAAGATTTAAAAAACAAAACAAAACAAAACAAAACAAAAAAAAACCTCAGTAAATGAAGGAACCAAGCGCAGATGAAAATAAAGGTAAGAAAAATAAGACAAAGCCCAGAGAATGATTCGTTTCCTCCATGCTCGCTTTGAGTTTCTGTACACTTTCTGAGGATTTGATCCTGAGCTTCCCAGTGGCCAAGTCAAGGAGGAGAACCATGGTAATTAATATGGTGTGTAGCACTGGGGAGAGGTACTGCTGTCGGCCTAAGGAAGCCAGGTGAATGGCCACACTCCTCTCAGGAGACAGTGCTGCCCCCAGGGATGGTCACCAGGCCTGCAGATCAGGGGTTTCCCCACAGACTTCACCTTGATATGAAAACGCCACTGGTTGGTTATGCTGGTTTAAGATACCTCCAGTCTCCTGTTATTTTGAACACATTGTGGTCTCCCAGTTAAGATTTGGAAAGCTGCCCTGGGCTTTGGTACCTCCTTGGCGAAGCTACCATTAAAACCTTTCTGGCGAGCAGTCCAGCTGCTCCTGCAAGCCAGATGGGCAGGTGGGCATCAAGCAGAGGGCACACCATGTACGGTGGCCTGGATTGGGGAGAGAAAGTACGACTTTCAGGGACCCACCCATGGTTTGTTGAGGCCTGGGAACAGGGGCTAGGGGCCAGGGTGGTGGTGACAATAGACAAGCCTACAGAGGTTTGTGCAGCCCAATCACCAAAGGCTTCAGGATTTGATTCCCAGCCAGGTTGTTGGGACTGCTTGTGTGGGCGGGGCCAGAGAGATTCCAGGTTTTTCTTTGGAGGTAGAGTTGCTACTCTGGAGACTCTAAAGCCTTGCACCTAAAACTCTGATGGCCTGTCACCAGGGTACCCCTCAGCCCACGGTGGGAGCTCTTCTAAGTGGTGAGTAACTCTGTCTTCCCTGTCTTCTGTTGCAGGCCAGTGTGACTTTGGCTCCAACTGCAGATTTTCCCACATGTCAGAGAGGGACCTGCAGGAGCTGAGCATCCAGGTGGAGGGTATATTTTGGCGGGGACCCTGAGTTGGGGCAGGGGGCGGGCTGCTGGGAGCATGCCAGATCTGAGGCCCAGGAAGCTGCCCAGTGTCTCACTGCCTCCTCCCCTTTTGTGGCCACCTTGTGGGATAAACTGAGAGCCACCTAGGTAATGGGGCAGGTGTCAGGAACTGCCTCTAAACTGCCCTAGGCATGAGTGGAAAAGGAACAGGGGACAGGGGGACTCCCATCTGTGTTCATGCTGGGTTTAAAGTGATATGTGGGGCTTCCTGTCCTGGAGCCCTGAAGGGGACTCTGCCGGGTGCTCATTCATGCATATCATCCCCCTTCCTTCCATCAGGCAGCACCTGTCTCCAGCCCTTACTCACCACCAGGCAGATCCCCTAACTCATCCTGGGGACAAAGGGATGAGGAGGACATCTTTCCTGCCCTCAGAATTCTCAGGCCCAGTGGCTCCAGGGGAGAACAAGTGTAGCTTCCCCTGGAAATTGCCACGTCTGCTTTTGGGAAATTCACTTGTCACTTCTCCAGTTGGAGAACCAGGACATTTCCACTGAGATGGTCTTTTTTTTTTTTTTTTTAATGTTTTATTTATTTTTGAAAGAGAGATAGAGACCGTGTGAGCAGGGGAGGGTCAGAGAGAGAGGGAGACACAGAATCTGAAACAGGCTCCAGGCTCTGAGCTAGCTGTCAGCACAGAGCCTGACGTGAGGCTCAAACCCACGACCTGCGAGATCATGACCTGAGCCGAAGTCAGATGCTGAGCCGACTGAACCACCCAGGCACCCCATCCACTGAGATGGTCTTAATCGATCTTCCGATGAAGCCCCTCACTGAACAGATAGGGAAACTGAAGCTAGTGTAGGGCAGAAGACCCGCACGTGAGCCCCTAGCAGCTTAGAGGCCAACTCGGGTCTCCCCAGAAGCTGCTGCTCACTCTTCCCTCTGTCCGGGTAGCCTCAGGGCAGCCAACGAGTGTCGGGGCAGCCTGGCCTTTGCCCTCGTCCCCAGTGGGCCTTGCTCCCCTCTGACCAGTCATACCCTGCAGACCCTGCCCTAGGAAGCTGATAGAACTGCGGCCACAGCCCTGGCACAAACACAGGGTTTCCAGGAGCTTTCCCAGGAAAGTGAGGCCCCATTGGCCTTGCCAGCAAGTCCTGACAGTGGTGTTATCTCCAGTTCTTCACTGGCCTGGGCTCTTGGGGAACAGTTGGCCCATGGTAGGGAGAGCATAGGCCAGTGGGCCTGGAACTGGAGACAATGCCTAGTGGAGACCCAGATGGGAGAAGTCCCAGGGGGCTGGGAACAGAGGAGTGCCCCCCGCCGTGGCAGCTCCCATAGTCCTGGCTCTGCCACATCCCCTGTGACCTTGGCACATGGCTAACCCTCTTGGAGGCAGTGTCCTGACCCTTTGAACGTGACTGGGTGTAGAGATGAAGTGAGCCGGGGCGTGTGCAGTGCTAGCCCAGGTCCTGGGCCCCCTCATTGGTCCATGAGTCGAATTATTTTCCTCCAGCCCCAGGCCTCATCCCAAGTCCTCCTGGAGACCCTGACCCATGTCACACCCAGCTTGTTTGAACCATTGGCTCAATTTTAATTCAGTGAGCAAAGGTTCTTACAGGACATTTTATGAAAAGGAAAACTGAGGTGCCTTCCCCTGCCCAGGGTCAGAGAGACCTGGCAAGGGGCAGACCCAAGATTCAAACTTGGCTTTGCCCTATTCTGCGGCCCACATTGCATCCCTGACCCCAGGTTTGGGCCTCTCCTGAGGCCCCTCTCTACGCACTTTATCCTGTGTCCAACTGCAGAAAGCATAGGAGGCAGCCCTTGTTTTATCTCCACTTAATGAGGAACCAAAGTGAGGCCCACAGGGGCAGGCCTAGGAAGGTGGCAGTGTGGTGGGGACAGCCCAGCCTGTACCGCCCTCCTTAGGAAGGTTCTGGCTGCTTTCTGGGAGGGTCGTGTTCAGGAGAAGGTGAATGTGCCCCTCACTTGCCTATATCTCCCTATCCCCACAGAGGAGAGGCGGGCCAGGGAGTGGCCACTAGATGTCGTTGAGCTCCCTGAGGGCCATCTGGAAGACTGGTTGGAAAAGAGAGCCAAGCGGCTGAGCTCAGCCCCAAGCAGCAGGTACAGGCCCCAGGGTCCCTTCCTCCTATCCCCTCTGGACGAGTACCCCAGCTGGCCTGCCCTGACCGGCAGCTGAGTCGTCTCCATGAACCGTCCCAGCCCAAGGACCAGACATGGATGCCCCCAAAGAGTTCCACAAGGGACTTTTGGGGACTAGTTTAAAGATTCTTGTTCCTGGACCTCATCCCCCTGCCATAGTGGCTCTTCCCTTAATTGGTGTCTATGCTGGCTGAAGGGGAGGCAGGTGGCCAAGCCAACTTGACTCAACATCACCAAGTCCATTGCCAGATGGAGGGGCCTGATTGTGATTCTGAGGCCCCAGTATGCCAGTCACTTCACTCTCTCCTCTAGGGCCCTGCCAGATAAGCATGGTTACCCTGACCCTGCAGAAGGGGAAGTACAGCTCACAGGAGGGAGTGACTTGCCCAAAGGCACACAGCTGAGAGGCAGAGCTGGGATTGCATAGAGATGTGACAGGCTCACTGCCATTGTCTCACTGCCTCCTTGAGGAGACTGGGGTGGGTCTGCCCAGCTGCTGCCGGGGTCTGGCACTCAATGTGCTCAGAAGTGAGTGGAACACCCTGGGTCAGGGGCCCTCAGGTTTATGTTGTATGCTGTCCCAGGGCTCCTGGGCTCTCCTACCAGGTGTTGAAGGAGACAGAGGGGAGGAAAGGGACTAACAGATGTGCTTGTGAGCTGCCTGTGACTTTGTAGTTTCCTGCACTGGGCTGCCTCATTTTGTCTGTCTTGCAATGGGACTTTAGACCCAATTGTCTCTGTGGTGTGATCTCCTGCGACAATGGCCTGGCCTGGGGTGAGGGAGCCTGGTTGGACAGTCGGGAGTGAGGCCTTCTCTCCAGGCTCTGCTAGGAGGTGGGGGGTTAGCTTCTTGCCTTCTCTGTGCCCCGATGAAGAGAACTTTTTGTTAAACTATCTTAAAATTAACTTTTAGTTGTTTTTTAACTGTTTTAAACCTGTGTTGGTTTTGTTCCCCCTACCTTAAAACAATATAGTACAGACATGACTAATTTTTTGGATGGAGTGTGATGTCCCTCCCTTCTGGTCCTGTCTGAGGTGGTTGTGATTTTGGTCAGGCGACTTCCCTCTTTGGGACTGTCCCGGGGATCCATGTCCTGAGCCCCAGGCTCCACCAGCCAATGTGTCAGAATACTGGGGCTGATTGGAGGCACCCAGAGAGCTCCAAGGGCTTCCCTGATCTCCCACTGCTTGGACCTGGCCACCTGTGGGTCTCAGGAGTCTGTTCTGACTTGGTGGTCCCTCTGTTGGGAGTGAGCACCAGAGGCCTGGGCACCTCCTGAGCTTTTCACAATGGTTCAGGGAGACCCAGTGCCCGGGCGCAGGTGTGGGGTAGAGGCGGGTGCCCAGAAGTCCCTGCTTGGGGACAGATGTGTCCCAGTGCTGTCCAGGGCATGGATGCCTGTGACCGTGAGACTCAGAGGACTAAGGGATGAGACGGACAAACTGAGGCTGAATGACGACAGGCCCAAAGTCTCAGGCAGAGGTGGTGACCACATGATAATTGGGTGTGTTTAGTGCTGTGGTGCACTTGGCCTTTGGCCCTGGGCCTTTAGGGGGATTGGTGCCCCTAGTTTGTGGCTAAGGAATCTCAACCTCTCCAGGAGGTTGTGACTGTCCTGGTCACATACTTGCTATCTTCAGCAGCACTCAGCTGTCACTTGAGAGAGAGCTTAGGCCCCTCTTGGTCTAGTCCCTGGGCTGCCTCAGTCACCATGTTTATGGCTGGCCAAGGGGCTCTGTCCAGCTGAGGTCTGGAGTGGTAGTGGCAATAGCCAGCTGCTGGGATGGCAGTAGTGATTTCTGGAATAGAGCCTCCAACTGGGACCACCCACAACTCTATGGAATCTCAACCCTGTCCCTTGTGCCCCTCACCCTCTGGCCACCCAACCTGGCCCCATCCCTGCTTTTCCTGGCCACCACTTATTCTCTGTGCCCGTGTACCTTTCCACCCCCCTCCTAAGGGCTCAGAGCCAAAATGAATTGCTCTCTGAGTAGAGCAGGCCTGTCTGGCCTTGAGAAAAAGGTTGTTGGAAGGGAAGTGACCATTTATTATTACTTTGGCTATCACTGCCTTGGTCCTCCTCAGCCCTCGTCTGTAGTGTCTCACAAAAAATAATACCCTTATCCCACAGCCCCTGGCTTTGGGTTCTGCCCCTCCGCGTGTGACCCCACTGTACAGGGTCAGGGGAGATGGATTTAAGCCCCCAGGCTGCCTCGTTCTGTTCTCTGAGTCTCTTACCCAGACAACCCTGCAGAAACAGTTCCCTCTGTGCCCTTCATCCACCCCAGCTTTTCTAACAGCAGCCCTCCTGCCTTCCCACCTCTCCTCTGCTCATCTGCTCCAGCCTCCACACAACAGCCCCAGCCAGCTTCTAAAACACTCTCTGGCCCTGGCCCGGCTCTGACCCCTGCGCCAACCCTCCTGGGCTTCCTCTCCCACAGGGATCCTGGACTCTGCAGCCCAGCTCGACAGACCGCAGGGAACTTTCCTGCCACCTCCCCAGCCCTTGGGGTCACCTTCTTACCTTTCCCATCTGGCGTCTTTCAGACCCAGTGGATGCTTGGCAGCTTCTCGGACATGGTGGGATTTTCATGCACCTTGTACATGCTATTTAATCTGCCTGGAACTGCCTCCCCACTTCTCTCTGGCAAAGTCAGACTCATTCTTCAGGCTTTAGCTAAGACACCCCCCCTCACACAGCCCTGAGCTCACATTATTGTCATTCGGGCTTGGCACAGGCTCAGGACATGTTGACTGCATGTGAGTATTTGGGGGAGCAGGCTCCCCAGCCCCGAGGACTATTCCCTAGATGTGTTTTGGGCCCCTTGCGGGGACCAGCCTGGTGGCTCCTTTTCTCTGGGGGTCTGTTTCCTCCCCTGAGGCACAGGGTGAAGATGGCTGCCTGGTCCACCTATGTGGGGCCACCCAGACCCAAGGGCCCCGACTCCACCTGCTGAGCACAGCCTTCGAGGTAAACCAGGCCAACCCTCCTTGTAAAAGGGGGAATGGAGGCTCTGTGAGGCCCCAGCCTGGCACACTGTACCATCCCCCTCAGCAGACTGACCCTGACAGATCTGCCAAGAGCAGACAGTGGCAGGAGGGAGAGGCAGGCCTCAGACACACAGACTAATCTCCCGGCAAGGCCAGTGCTTGTCCCTGTTTTCCATTGTTGGCTCTTCAGATTGTGACTTTATCCCTCTTAATCTCCCCTTTTTGTACCCCTCTCTGGGCTGACGCTACTGTTCCAGCCCAGGCGCTTCCCTAGGACTCTTTTCTTCTGATCAGAACCATGGCTGGGGAAAAGCAGAAGACAATTGCTCCTGTCCTTGTGCTGGGGGCAAACAGGCCACTAGAGAGGCCATGAGCAGTCTTGTGCACCTCGGTGTCCCCATGTGCTCTGTTGTAGGGTTGAAGGGGTATGCTCCAAGGGCTCCGTGGCCCAGGGAATGTGTCTGTGTCTGAGCACACCAAAGAGGTACTCTTATCCTGGTGAGAAGCCCCAGCTGCCCAGGAATCTGCCCCATCTTCTAGAGAAGGGTCTGAAGTCCATGTGAAGGGGCTCCCCCAGGATCACACCCTCTCTGCAGAGAATTGCTGTCACCTTAACCCTGTGAGAAGTTCAGGTTGGCTGGCAGCTGGGCTCTCCCATCCGGCAACTGCAGAGCCTCCCCCACTCCCACCCTTCTCTGCAGCTGGTGGTGTTTATGAAGGCTCCCCAGTGCCATAAATCATGCCGGGAGCTGCTCTCCAGCAAGCAGCTAAGCAGGGGATTTCCCTGGCCTAGAGTCCTCAAGTCAGCTCTGTACAGCAGGTCAGGCCTCGAGAGGGCCAGGCTGGGTGGCTGCAGTGAGGCTCCTGGGGCTCCTGACCCCAGACCCTACTCTGCCCGGAGGCCTGAGGCCTCTCCAGATCATTGAGTGCCCAGGACTTTCCCTTTCTGCAGAGGGCTGACCACTGGATCCGAGCCTGCTGGAGCCGCCAGGGCATCACCTCCACTGAATCCACATCCCCAGTTGTGGACTGGGGGCAATGTCTGGAGCCCACGTCTATGTTGCCTGTTAGCCCCTAATCCCCTGATCCCAGGCTCTGTCACTTGGGCATATGACTGCCTCTGTGTAACTCATTTGCCTCATCAATAAAATGGGATTCACATGAGGATGCTTGAGGTTTCTCTAGCCATTGGTGTCTGGCCCAGAGTAGTGCCTAGTCAGTAAGAGCACCCAGCATTACTCTTTGTCACCAGCAGACATTCACTTAGTGGCTTTCCTGTGCCAGGCCTGGCTCCCGGCACTTGGGGGGTGGGGGGGACAGATGGAGCCTACCCCTACCCCTTGGTCTCTTCCATTTGAGAGCTCCAGTCCCGTAGGGGAGGCTTGAGCTCCAAGGTGAGTTCAAAGTGCTCCATAGCCCGAGAGGGGCAGTGCAGCCCTGGGGTAGCAGACTGAGTGGGAATTGGGTCCAGAAGCATTGGAATGTGGGACCATTTGGTGGAGGGAAGAGTGGCCCCCAGCTGGGCACTCAGGGTGGATGCTTCAGATGGGCCCCGGGTTCCCAGGTGGCAACTCCAGGGTGGTGGACCTTAAGGGGAAGGAGAGTTGAGTAGCATGAGAAATGAGGCTTTTAAAAAAAATTTTAGACAAGTATTTTTTTCTGATTTCAAAAGCTTGCGTGCTTGTAAAACTTTTCTTGAAAAGTATAAAGAAGTAAAAAAATCACCCATAACTACACCACACAGATAGAACCACTGTTAACATTTTGCTGTGTCTTCCAGGGTTTTTTTTATGCATTTATATATGTTATAATATCTTTAAACAAAAATAGTATCATGCTATATACATTATTTTATAAGCTGCTTTTTTCTGTCTACTCACACAGTACATCATGATGCCTTTCCTTATCAGTGCATATAAGTCTGCCTTAAAGTTTATGCAGGCTGCATAGCATTCTCTGCTGTGGACGTGCATGTGTATTTAATCAATCCGTCTCAGGTGGACACAGGTTATTAACCACTTCTTACAGCTCAGTCTCTGCCCACAGCTCTGCTTTTTCCTTGGTTTCCTTCCTAGAAGTGAGATTGCTGGCTCAAAGGGTCTGCATGTTTGAGGCTCTGCCTTCCAGAAAGGTCATGCAGGCAGCTGACCTTTCCCATAGCTGGGGTCTTAGGGAGGGGGCGCTGGGGGGAGGTGCCCAGCCTGGGCCTAGGCTGTGCCTCATTCTAATTCTCTGCCTTTCTCCTTCTCTCTAGGGCCGAGCCCATGAGAAACACCATCTTCCAGTACCCCATAGGCTGGCCACCAGTCCAGGAGCTGCCTCCATCCTTGCGGGCACCTCCACCCGGGGGGTGGCCCCTGCAGCCCAGTGTCCAGTGGGGCTGAGCCCCTCATCCCCATCTGACCCCCATCTGGTCAGCGTCTGTGTCAGTCACAAGAAAGATAAGGGCCCACACTGGGGACACCAAGGCCCCCTCCTGTTGCACACTGTGGAGCTTCTGAGCCCATTGGCTTGGCCTGGCTTGACAGAGGCCCCAGAGTCCCCCTACCAGGTGCAGGCCTGGTCCTAGCTCTGCTCCAGGCGGCTCCACCCTCCCTCCCTCCCTCATGGGACATCTTGAGAAGATGGGTGAGAAAACTTCCTTCCAGATGTTTATAAAGAAAGTCTGTCACCATGGTGGTGTGGCTTCCTCCATGCCCGGCGCCCTCAGCTCCACGCCCCGTGGTTGGAGGACAGGCAGGACTGGAGTGAGGTGGGGTCCTCTGCAGGGCGATGAGTGCTTGCTGCCCGTCTCCCTGGAGGGCTGGCAGAGGCTCAGCACAGCCACGCAGACCGCACGCCAGTGTGGCTGTGATGGTCACCCGGATGATAAGTCGCTCCAGGTGTGGGAGAGGAGCTTGAGGACCAGTCTGCTGTCCCTGTCCCCATGTCTGCCCATGCTGAGCTGGTGCCCGAAGAGGGGGTGTGGTAGCAGCTGTGTCTCTGGCCTAGATGGTGTAGAGAAGTTGGGGGGCCCAGGAGGACAGGCCTCGGCATTGGAGTGGCCTGGCTGAGCTTCCTGGCTGCTTCCAGCCCCTTAGCCCAGCATGACACAGGGCTCCTCCCAGGGCTGCTGCCCCGGAAGAGCCCCCTGGCCAAAGGGAAGGTTGCATAGGCTGCTCAGGCGATTTGGAAAGTCCCGGCCCCTGGTCTGCTGCCCTCCTCACTGCACTCCAGTTTTAGATTCTGTGCTGGGTGGTGATGGGCATTGTGACCCTCAGGCCACTGGGCCTCTGATGAGGGGGCTCAGAGGGTAGAGACTGCAGGGCCACCTCAGATGCCCCATCTGCCATGCACTTCTGCCCTTCCTGAAAATCCCTGTTTAAGGGGGTCCTGAAGGCAAATCTGAGGGCCCTGAGTCTCAGAGTCTCCTCTGTGAGATGGCCAAATTCTCTGGCCCCAGTGGGTGCATGGAGGAAGGCTGGGTTTGAGTCTAAGGAGGGTCAGAGAAAGGGACCCCACGGAAGGCCAGGGGCCTTCCCAGACATGGCCAGGGAATAGGGCCCAGGAGACCCCAGCCTAGCCCCATCTCCAGGAAGAAGCATTCTGCCCCCACCTTCACCCTGCCCACAACCCTGGGCAAGTGTCAGGGACCATGGTCGGGCTGGCTGTGTTACCCTGGGCATAGGGTGCACCTTCCTGCCTTAGTGACCACAGCAGCTACAGGACCCTGTACAAATTCCTCCTAAACTTCCCAGGAGCCCCTAGATGCTGGGAAGTGTGAGTGCTACATTCGGGCCAGGGTGGACAGGGTGCAGGCGGGTCTGGGGGCTGTGTTCAGAGCCACCACCAGACCCTCCACAGCTGGGCCATGGCTCCATGCAAGGCCCCCCAAGGGTAGGTGGGGTGGGGTTGCCAGATGTCCAGGCCCCGAAGTACACGCAGCGGTGGCCCAGGGAGCCAAGTGAGGGAGGGGACTGAAGGCGGTGGCGGGCGTGGAGGGGGCCCCATGCACCGCGTGCGCCTACTTCATGCCGCTGCGCAGCACCTGGTTGGCTGCGATGAGCATGACGCTAATGATGAAGGCGATGGCGAAGGCGCAGATCAGACTCTTGCGCACGCACGTCTGGCGGATCTGCTGGTTGGAGCAGGCTGTGGCCGCCCGCCAGGGAGCACCAGAGAGAGACAGACGGGGACAGCGAAGCATGGAATCAGGAGCTGCCTGCACTTCCGCACACAGGCTTGTCCCATGGGACACGCAGGGACACAAGGCTTGGGGCAGGCAAGGAGGCCCCCAGCCACCCCCTGTAAACCCCTGGTTCCTCCTCCCCATGCCCAAGCAGTTGGCCTGCCCGTGGGGTACCAGGGGTCGGTCACTCACTCTCCACATCCACGGGGCACTCCTCAGCTGTGCCCAGGTGGCTTTCCTCCTCCGTCATGATGATGTTCTCGATGTCCTTCATGGACAGGTGCTCACAGAAGGTGTCATACAGCAGCCTCTTCAGCTCGTCCACAGTCAGCTTCTGCATGTCGCACTTGGAGAGAGGAGGAGACATAGTGCTCTGGCCACTGCCACCACCACAGCTGCCACCCAGCATCCTGCAGCCACACAGGTCGAACGACAGGCCTCCAGACTCTGGAGGACTGGAAACCACTCACTTCATTCCTTGAGTCCTTGACCACACCAGCCTCCCCCAGGGAGCCCATGGCTCTCTGGGAGACAAGACATCCAGTGGATAGAAGCTTGGGGTAGTCATCCCCCTTTACAGTGTGGCCCTGGCTATTCACTGGCCCCAGTACAGCCCTCCACAGTGTGCACATCCTAGATACCAACCAGCCAATGCATACCTTCCAGAAGACGGTGTCAAAGTCAGTGCCATGAAACTTCTCTGGTATCCCCGAGGTGGAAAGCTTGGGTCCCAGGAGGGTCACAAACTCCTCAAAGTCCACTTGGCCATCACCTAGGGCAAGCAGAGATCAGTCAGTGGACCAGCCTACAACTGGGCTGGGTCCTGGGCCACCTTGGGCAGGTCCTACCTTCTCTGAGCCTTGAGTTAATTTCAGGGACACATAACATCTGCCAAGCTCTGGGTTGATGTTAAACCCACCAAATATGATGAGGCCCCACCTGGCAAAATGGAGATGGAGTGCAGCAGGTGGGCCCAAGCACGTGGGACATCCTCACAATTTACTCAGAAACCATGGCTTCCCAGCACCCTGCTTCCTTCCCCCGGCAGGTGTGGGGCCTGACATTCAGATGGGAACCGAAGCTCAGGGCACACTCTACCCAGACCACCACCTGCTCTCTAGACAGATAGGAGGCAGGGCTGGAGCCCCACATTGAAAGGTGGGGGAATAAGAAAGGACTGGACATTACTGGTCTTTTTTACTAGTTTTTGTTGTTTTTTTTTTTAAATAAAATGCCAGGTGGCAAATGCAACTAAATGATTTTGTATTTGGGGTAAGGGGCCTGGGGTATTTAGTATTATTTCCTTTCTACTTTAAAAATTGCTCAGGGGCTCTTGGCTGGCTCAGTTGGTAGGGCATGCAACTCTTAATCTCAGAGTTGTGAGTTCAAGCCCCACATTGGGTGTAGAGATCACTTAAATAAGACAAAATCTTTAAAAAAGTTGCTTGGAATACAGAGCAAGAGAGGCAGAGCCTCTGACCCATGTGTGGATGTAAATGGGGCCATCACACTCTGGCCTCTATTCTTTAGGCTGAGAAATAGGTCCAGACCTGGCTGTATAGTGCCATGGGCTTGGGGGGTGCCTGGGAGGGAGAGGCTCAGGGCCTCAGAGGCCCAGGTGAGGGGTAAGGAAACTGAGGCAGGGGTGGTGCTCACCGTCCATGTCCAGCCGCTGGATGATAACTTCCAGCTCCACCTCATTGGGCATGTAGCCCAGGGAGCGCATGGCTGTGCCCAGCTCCTGCTTGGAGATGAAGCCATTGCCATCGCGGTCAAAGACTTTGAAGGCCTCACGGATCTCTGTTGGGGGAGCAGAACAGGTTGGGACCTCGCCTCTGTCCCCACACACCCCCTCCCTAGACCCCCAGAATCCCCAAACCCACAGGCTGAGCACGGCATTGAGAATCCACTGCAGCCTGCAGGTCTGATAAGAGACAAGTGGCAGGTGGTCCAGGAGTCCACCATAGCACTGCCTTCCGGAGGCTCAGGGCAAGCCGAGCCAGGCTGCAAAGGTGTGCCCAGGCCCACAGCACTGACAGAGGGGAGAGTGTCCTCCGGGTCTCGGTCTCCGCTTGCCAGGTTCCCACAGCCTCTCAGGGTGTGCTCACGACGACCCCATGTGGTGAGTAGCATGAGTCCCACTGGGCGGGCTCCTGGGGCTTGGCAGTGGTGGCCTCTGTGAGCTGCCAAAGGCTTCTCTGCCAACCCCTCACTCCTTCCATCCCCCACTCCCCCTCATCCCCATCACATGCTTCCTCCCTTGGGCTCAGCTTAGAAACTCCAGCCAACACTCCTTAATGGCACCACATGGGGCAGCCACTATCTCCGGCTCAGGGCTGACAGGACTGCCAACTCCGTGCAGACTGCCTCCCCAGCCCAAGGTTTGGGGGAAGGCAGAGGCTGGATAGAGGGGCCCCAGCAAGCCCAGGCCTGCTCAGATGTAGGGATTGTCCCTTGCATTGTACAGAAAGGGAGACTGAGGCCTGAGGACCTGGGTGACTCGGGTGGAGAGCAATGCATTGGACTGGGAGCAGTGAGTGACCTTGGGTCAAACTCAGTCCCACCCACAGTAAAATAGTGATGTGGGTATGACAAGGGTTTTACCAA